CCATGTGAGCTCTAAACTAATGCTGAGGTTAAGTTTATCCACCATGTGAGCTCTAAACTAATGCTGAGGTTAAGTTTATCCACCATGTGAGCTCTAAACTAATGCTCAATACATTTGATTAATAGATACGGTATATTGTCTGATCAGGTCCCAGTTCAGTCTTGGAGCTGCTGAAGCCTGAAGACAGACAGCGACTCCTCAGCATGCGCACCACCTCCTCCCTTCTGACCTCCACTAAGACCTCCCAGGATGCCGTGCGGTCGTGGGCGGGGCCTTCGGCGGAGGGTGCCGAGGACTCTGGACTCCGGCAGCAGCAGGAGGCTCTGACGGCGTGGAGAGGAGTCCAGACCTCCTCTCAGACCTTCAGACCCTTTGAGCAGGACCCCACCAAACAGGCCCGCTACGAGCTGTACCTGAACCGGCTGAAGCAGGGAGACAGAGGTAGGAGGACTACATGTCCCATCATGCACTGCAGGAGACACATTCTACTGAGAACATGTTGGAACAGAAGATATAAAAGAATATAAAATATATTCATTAACATGTCAGTAGAAAGAGGTTTTAACACGACTAGAGACAGAGGTAGGAGGCCTACATGTCCCATCATGCACTGCAGGAGTCTCTGTGTCCCAGGTGGTCTGGAGCAGAGTCTGGACCCGGGTATGACTGAGTGGGAGCGCAGCAGAGAGAGGGAGGAGTTCGTCCGAGCATCCATCTTGTACAGACCCTCCTCCTCCTCGCTCTCCTCCCGCTTCACCAGAGCCAAGACCCAGGAGGACGAGGACAGCGTGGAGGTCAGCCGGGACCAGGAGGTAAGGGGGTCCACCTGTAGACCGCCGTCAGCTTGTCTCACCCTCATTAAAGGGACAGTTCAGGTGTTCACAAGTGTGTTAGTGTGAGCTTCTTCTTCATGGATGGACGTATGTTAGACACTAAAGTTTGCAGTTTGTTTGGTTATAAATGTGTTTGTTTGTTTGGTTGTCAGAGCGACGTGGACGACAAACAAGCCGCAGTGAACATGAAGATGTTCGGTAAACTGACCAGAGAAACGTTTGAGTGGCATCCAGATAAACTGCTCTGCAAGAGATTCAACATCCCAGATCCTTATACCGGGTACATACATATATATACACATATATACATACACATACAGTGGGTACGGAAAGTATTCAGACCCCTTTAAATTTTTCACTCTTTGTTTCATTGCAGCCATTTGCTAAAATCAAAAAAGTTCATTTTATTTCTCATTAATGTACACTCAGCACCCCATCTTGACAGAAAAAAACAGAAATGTAGAAATTTTTGCAAATTTATTAAAAAAGAAAAACTGAAATATCACATGGTCATAAGTATTCAGACCCTTTGCTGTGACACTCATATTTAACTCACATGCTGTCCATTTCTTCTGATCCTCCTTGAGATGGTTCTACTCCTTCATTGGAGTCCAGCTGTGTTTAATTAAACTGATTGGACTTGATTAGGAAAGGCACACACCTGTCTATATAAGACCTTACAGCTCACAGTGCATGTCAGAGCAAATGAGAATCATGAGGTCGAAGGAACTGCCCAAGGAGCTCAGAGACAGAATTGTGGCAAGGCACAGATCTGGCCAAGGTTACAAAAGAATTTCTGCAGCACTCAAGGTTCCGAAGAGCACAGTGGCCTCCATAATCCTTAAATGGAAGAATATATTTATATATTATATTTAAAAAAAAAAAA